CACCAAACGTCAACTAGTGAGCAAAAAACAAAACAGTCAGGAAATCTGGGAATGTTGGATTTCAGTTTTAGTCCCTGATCAACGCGCTCGATACATAAAAATCAGATTCCACTGTAACGTGTTTTACTAACTTCTGAATGAAAACATTATTTATTACATTTACTGAGTTTCATGATACAAAAACACATTAAACACTGACTTCAGTGGAATTCCTGCATCACATTTAAATATTATGATCTTCGTCCTGTTTGATCCAAAGTTCAGTGAAGAATCAAGTACTGACCTAAAGGTCTGTATGTGTTGAGTTTCTGGAAGCAGCCGGATGTCACTCAAAAGCCCTGAAGCGTGTAAACACATGATGGCTCTCTCTTTTACTATAAATCACAAACATGTGGCTCTGAGCGTTTAACATTTGGCTTTCAGAGCTTCTGCTCTGGAATAAAAAGGTGTAAGCGGCCCCAGAAGGCAGGATGAAAAACATCATCTCAGCTGGAGCAGGTCTAGAGAATAAATCCTAAAATGTGAGGCTGCTGCTGCTAAGACCTGAAACCCAGAGACAGCAGCAGCCTGTTGGTGTCCCGAGTCAGGGCTCGTACCAGTTCATAGAGCGTCTCAGAGCTCTCTCCCAGCTCTGGAGGACAGAGAAGTACTCCTGATCTGGGCTCAGAGCCCCCTCCTTAGCTGGACCTCTGGGCAGGAACACACGGTCACTGCTCTGCAGCTTCTTCAGCTCCTCTTGAGTCGACCAGAAGCCTGAGGGACAGAAGGACACGAGTCAGGGATAGAAGAGTCAAGGACAGAAGGACACGGGTCTGGGACAGAAGGACACGAGTCAGGGACAGAAGGACACGAGTCAAGGACAGAAGGACACAGGTCTGGGACAGAAGGACGCGAGTCTGGGACAGAAGGACATGGGTTGGGGACAGAAGGACACGGGTCAGGGACAGAAGGACACAAGTCTGGGACAGAAGGACACGAGTCTGGGACAGAAGGACACGAGTCAGGGACAGAAGGACACGGGTCAGGGACAGAAGGACACGAGTATGAGACAGAAGGACACGAGTATGGGACAGAAGGACACGAGTATGAGACAGAAGGTCACGGGTCAGGGACAGAAGGACACGAGTATGAGACAGAAGGACACGAGTATGGGACAGAAGGACACGAGTATGAGACAGAAGGACACGGGTCAGGGACAGAAGGACACGAGTATGAGACAGAAGGACACGAGTATGGGACAGAAGGACACGAGTATGAGACAGAAGGACACGGGTCGGGGACAGAAGGACACGAGTCGGGGACAGAAGGACACGAGTCAGGGACAGAAGGACATGAGTCAGGGACAGAAGGACACGAGTCAGGGACAGAAGGACACGAGTCAGGGACAGAAGGACACGAGTCAGGGACAGAAGGACACGGGTCAGGGACAGAAGGACACGAGTATGAGACAGAAGGACACGAGTATGGGACAGAAGGACACCAGTCAGTGACAGAAGGACACGAGTCGGGGACAGAAGGACACGGGTCGGGGACAGAAGGACACTGTCCCTGAAGGACATGGGTCGGGGACAGAAGGACACGGGTCAGGGACAGAAGGACACGGGTCAGGGACAGAAGGACATGGGTGGGGGACAGAAGGACATGAGTATGAGACAGAAGGACACGAGTATGGGACAGAAGGACATGGGTCGGGGACAGAAGGACACGAGTATGAGACAGAAGGACATGGGTCGGGGACAGAAGGACACGAGTATGAGACAGAAGGACATGGGTCGGGGACAGAAGGACACGAGTATGGGACAGAAGGACATGGGTCGGGGACAGAAGGACACGAGTATGGGACAGAAGGACACAAGTATGGGACAGAAGGACATGGGTCGGGGACAGAAGGACACGAGTATGGGACAGAAGGACATGGGTCGGGGACAGAAGGACACGAGTATGAGACAGAAGGACATGGGTCGGGGACAAAAGGACACGAGTAGGAGACTGAAGGACATGGGTCGGGGACAGAAGGACACGAGTATGGGACAGAAGGACACGAGTATGGGACAGAAGGACACAAGTATGGGACAGAAGGACATGGGTCGGGGACAGAAGGACACGAGTATGAGACAGAAGGACATGGGTCGGGGACAGAAGGACACGAGTATGAGACAGAAGGACATGGGTCGGGGACAGAAGGACACGAGTATGAGACAGAAGGACATGGGTCGGGGACAGAAGGACACGAGTATGAGACAGAAGGACATGGGTCGGGGACAGAAGGACACGAGTATGGGACAGAAGGACACGAGTATGGGACAGAAGGACATGGGTCAGGGACAGAAGGACTCGAGTATGGGACAGAAGGACATGGGTCGGGGACAGAAGGACACGAGTATGGGACAGAAGGACATGGGTCGGGGACAGAAGGACACGAGTATGGGACAGAAGGACATGGGTCGGGGACAGAAGGACACGAGTATGGGACAGAAGGACATGGGTCGGGGACAGAAGGACACGAGTATGAGACAGAAGGACATGGGTCAGGGACAGAAGGACACGAGTATGGGACAGAAGGACATGGGTCGGAGACAGAAGGACACGAGTAGGAGACAGAAGGACATGGGTCGGGGACAGAAGGACACGAGTATGGGACAGAAGGTCACGAGTATGGGACAGAAGGACATGGGTCGGGGACAGAAGGACACGAGTATGAGACAGAAGGACATGGGTCAGGGACAGAAGGACACGAGTATGGGACAGAAGGACATGGGTCGGGGACAGAAGGACACGAGTATGAGACAGAAGGACATGGGTCAGGGACAGAAGGACACGAGTATGAGACAGAAGGACATGGGTCGGGGACAGAAGGACACGAGTATGGGACAGAAGGACATGGGTCGGGGACAGAAGGACACGAGTATGGGACAGAAGGACACGAGTATGGGACAGAAGGACATGGGTCGGGGACAGAAGGACACGAGTATGGGACAGAAGGACATGGGTCGGGGACAGAAGGACACGAGTATGAGACAGAAGGACATGGGTCAGGGACAGAAGGACACGAGTATGAGACAGAAGGACATGGGTCAGGGACAGAAGGACACGAGTATGAGACAGAAGGACATGGGTCGGGGACAGAAGGACACGAGTATGGGACAGAAGGACATGGGTCGGGGACAGAAGGACACGAGTATGAGACAGAAGGACATGGGTCGGGGACAGAAGGACACGAGTATGAGACAGAAGGACATGGGTCAGGGACAGAAAGATCTTCAGTCATCTGCACAAACTTGCTATTTTGTTGTTGGATTAGACGTTAACGTGGTTTAATCTGATTATAAATCTGATTATAAACGCCGCCCTGCCCATAAAAAGCTCACACACTAATACTTTGTTGGATCGCCTTTAGCTTTGATTACGATGGAGGGGACGTGAGAATCATAAAGTTAGTTAAAAAGTCCCACAGCACAGGTGTTAGAGGAGTTAGTCAGTGTTATTCATCAGCACGGCTCTCTAGCTGTTTAAACATTTATTAGCCAGACTGGTTCTGTGGTTCTGATCCAATCTGTTGTCCTTAGTGAAAATTAACGTTCCAGATAAACAAACTAGCTAACTGAACTATGACTAGGAGAAACTCACTTTAAACACCTATAATTCAACTGTTACCAGTAAAGCGTCTTATTTTAAATAGATACTTTGAAAAAAACATCCAGCTATCAGTAATTTTATTCTAATATCTGAACTTACATTTAAACTAGAACTATTTTCATCTCAGACAGGCAATACTTCAGTCTCCTGCTGCAAACCCAATACACATGAATGGGAAATATGACAACATTAGTCCTAAGAGTAACTATATTTAAGAAATCTCAAGTGTTCATTATGGAGAGTAAGAATGTTACCGTGGATATCTGGAATATAAATATTTACTTGGAACAACAGATTCACAGATTACTGTTATACAAATCCAAGCTGCCTAATAAATGTTGTTTAGATTGTCTTTAAGGATTTGGGTTTGTCCAGTTGGATATCCTTACATAAAAGTTCTAGTAACAAAATACCTGCTGATATCTGTATTTTCAATCAGACTAGTAGTAATACTACTGAGACTGGGACAAATTAAATTGTTGCTTTGTTAAATAGAGATATAAAAAAAGAGGCGTGGTTGTTTTTAAATGTTAAAATGGTTCATTAAATAAGTTTTCAGTCTATCGCCACCTGCTGGTGATCTTATTATCAACCAGAATAAACATACAATAAACACACAATCAACATTTTATTGGAAGATTCTATTTTTATTTTTTTGTTTTAGTGTTTTCTGCTTTAAAGAGCGAGAGGTTTGTGGTGAACAGTAGTGACTGGGTTAAGGTTTTACTACTGTAGCTAAAATAGGTGTAACAACGTGTGTAAATACACCAGAATGCAGGAAATGTCATCTACACCACCACCGTATCCCACAAGGTTCTGTGGTGGGGCCTCTACTCTTCCTCCTCTATCTGCTTCCTCTTCAGAACATCGTGAGCTCCTTCAAAGGAATCTCCTACCATCTTTATGCAGATGACATCCAACTGTACATCTCCTTTAAGCCCCATGAGATGTCTAAGCTGCAGCTGTTACACACCTGCTTAGACTCTATCAAAACCTGGATGGTGGGAGCTTTCTTCAGCTGAATGAAGATAAGACTGAGATCCTCATCTGCACCCCAGACAAGCTGGTTCCCAAAGTCAGAGACTCTCTTGGTCAGCTTGCTTCCCACACCAAACCTTCCGTCAGGAATCTTGGCGTGACCTTTGACTAGGGCTGCACAATATATCGAAAAATTATCGTCATCGCGATAACAGGACGTGCGATAGGCCCATCGCAAAGCACGTCAAAAACGGCGATAAATGTTTGGTTCAACATTTCCATCCGTGTCATACCTCAACTTTTTGTAAACCAGCTCTGTTTTTTACGCGGAAGTATTATTTGACCAATCAAATGTAGCCCTTCTGATATGTGGCCAATCAGATGGGTCCGTTCACATAATACGCCCGCCCCCTACGTAGACCCTTAGGATGGGTGGGTGGAACGCAACACCTGAACTGAGTTAACTAGATCAGCGTTTTATCATCTGCATCAAATAGCACGACTCAGGAGTCTCATGTCCAGACAAGACCTAGAGAAACTCATTCATGCGTTCACCTCCAGCAAACTGGACTATTGCTATGGTCTTTGGCTGGTCTTCCCAAAAATCAAATCAAATCAACTTTATTTATAAAGCGCTTTCACATGCCCAAAGCGGAAAACAAAGCGCTGTACACCAATAACATGCACAACAATAAAATCCCGAGTACAAGTTCGCAATCCATATCAGTCCTGTTTCCAGAATCAGATCCAGACACATTCAAAGTGATGCTGCCCACGCAATCCCAACTTCAAAGTCCAAACGCCAACGAGAACAGATGTTTTTAGTCGGCTTTTAAAGGTCTCCAGTGATTCGGCCTGCTTTACGTCGGCTGGCAGCTCATTCCAAAGACTTGGTCCGAGCGCTGAAAAGACACAACTCCCACAAGACTTCGAGCTGTACCTGGGCACGGTTAATAGTCTCTGGCCAGCTGACCTAAGGGAACGCAACGGGACATGTCGGTGGATGATGTCAGAAAGGTATTTAGGTGTCCCTGAGTTTAACGCCTTAAACACAAACAGGATGACCTTAAACCTGATGCCATAGGAGACAGGGAGCCAATGCAAGGCACGTGGGACTGGTGTAATATGTTCAGACCTCCTGGTAGATGTTAGCAACTGAGCAGCCGAGTTCTGAACTGCCTGGAGGCGTGCTACTGGAGCTTGCCTAAGCCCCGCATATAGCGAGTTGCTGTGAAGCAGCAGCAGGTTATTCAGAATGCTGCTGCTAGAGTTTCAACAAGAACCAGGAGAACCGAGCACGTCCCCCCTGTTCTTAAATCTCTACACTGGTTACCAGTAAACTACTGAATGGACTTTAAATAGTTTTACTGCTCTATAAATCTCTCAATGGCATGGGGCCAAACACATGTCAGATCTCCTTCAGGTATCTACGCCCAGCAGGGCTCCGAGGTCCAAAGGAAGCAGTCAGCGCCTCACTTTTATTACAGCAGCGGCCCAAAACGATCTCCTAACACATGGATTTTCTACTTCCTGATCACGTGACATATGCAGATGAAGATCGGCTTCAGAGCTGGGATGTTTGTTCTCACGGTGCGGGGGCTCGTTTCCACGCCCATACAGTAAAAAAAATGCAAATGACGACTTTAGTCGTCATTGGCAGTGAACGAGTTGAGTGACAAAACAGCACAAACTTACAGAGGGGTATTTTTTTTCTCTGTAATTAAGAGTTTCGTCAAATTATGACGAGCATGTCATGAGCTACTTTGCGAACAAAAACATAATCATTGTTCACGTGTTTATATACCGGCTTCAAGTCCGGCCACAAACGCCGCCCCCAGACACGACCTCTCGTGGTGCTGGGGTCTGACCAGCTTCCTACCAAACAGATCCGCAGTCAGCTGCATGATGAAGTCGTTGGAGGAAACTCCTCCATCCACCCTGAAGGAGAGAGGAACAGAGTGCACAGTATGAGAGGAACATAAAGCTGTACCATCCATTAGTAGAGTGGTTCGTGCTGGCTTAAACCCAAGGATACCAGCGTAGGACTGGGAAAAACCCTCACCTGATCTTTGTGATGGGAATGCGAGTCTCTCTCAGCATCGTCTCATAAAGCTGCTTGTTTCTGGAAAGATAATTAAAAGGAAAAAGTCGGTCAGCATGAAGAAGGATAAAGATGCTGAAATGGAAACGGTGCCTTCAAACAAGTCACCTGAAGGCGACGGACTCTAGGATGGCACGGACCAGGTGGCTTTTGGTTGTGGAAGGTTTGAGTCCCATGAGGGAGGCACAAGCTTTTGGGTCATTCAGCGGAGCCTTAAATTAAAGAAAAAAACACACACACACACACACACACACACACACACACACACACACACACACACACACACACACACACACACACACACACACACACTTGTATTTATATGTTCGAGTAGACCTCCATTAATTTCCATTAACTTTAGTGACTCAACTGTGCCTAACCCTAACCAATGGGGTTCTATTCCTAACCTAACCCTAACCTAAACTAAAGGTTAATTCACACCATACCTCTTAGACTAAGTTTTAGGACACTTAGCATTGTGTGGAGCAGCAAAATGTCTCCACAATGTGGACATTTCCACATGTTACAGGTTATTAGTCTAAATTTGTCCACTTAAAACATATAGAGACATGTACACTAGAGCCCCGTCCTGATTTGTGTTTACTGTTGTGAGAATACGAGGCAGAGTTTCAAGAAATGTGTCTAAGCATTGAGAAAAACTGTAAAACCTTTTCTTATTTCTTTCAACAACACTTTATCATGGTATAGCTATAAACATATTTTGGAGATAAAAACATTTAATACATTAAGAAATTGGATCTCTCGGATTAATCCAAAACTCTGCCAAAAACACGTCTTGGACTACAAACAACTACTAGTCTGTCCGGTTGTCGGAATCACCGCCGCACTAGAGCCCTGCACGGGCCTAAAATCTGAGCCTGTGTCCGGCCCGGCCCGGCCCGAGGGGGTGGAGCCCCAGCCCGACCCGGTCCGAAAAGGTTTTCAGGATTCTCTGGCCCGACCTGAGCCCGACTTTTTTTTAACCAACTGAATGAAAACAAAGTGCGTCAATCCTGACCAATGTGATAAAAGACGTGCAGGATCCGATCATTTTGTTTTTCCCTCGTTTACTGTCACGGAGATAACTGAGCACTGGCTCTGGTGTTAATCAAGTTAAATTTCATCTCTTTCCAACAATTTTCACAAGAAAACAGAACAGTTAAAAGCAGGGCTTGTGTTGACCGGATAGTTCCTGTATTTGACCGTTTATTTTGACGGAGAAAGAATAGAAAGAATTACCCCGACGCATGCAGATGAACTGACATTTTGTTCTACGCACATCGCAGATGTAGCTAAATCACCCAAGAAATGATTCCCATCTGAACATCTGAGCTGCTCAGCGCATATGTGCACAGCGAGCTGAAGTTGTGGAGATTGGCTTGGAGCGCGTCGCAGAACCAGAGCGCATGCAGGAAGATTCCTCCGACTGAAGCGAGTGTTTTCCAAACCCGGTCACTCAGAGAGACTTGTCACTTAGAAAATGTTCCCTGATGATGAAACTTTGGCTGAATAGCGCTTGTTCCTGTCTCCAATGTGGCGACACATCCAGGAGCCGTCTGAGGAGAATCCCAGAATCTCACATCCTCGTCAGCTCAGAAGCGCCTATATGATTACGCACAAGCGTGACGCGTCAACCCGGTCTCACAGTAAGACCGGGTTGGACCTGTTCAGGTTTACGCAGACAATCTTTACATTTAGAATTAGCATACAGATGTAAAATTAATGCAGAAAAATATAAAGCTTTTTATTTAAATATCCATTCATTATTTTACAAGCACAGAGAGCCGCATCAGATGGAAGGAAGAGCCGCGGGTTGTGACATGTTTTCTCCAGGACCAGAGAGGACGCAAACTCAATACATCTCTTTTATTGTGAGGTCATAATTTCTCCGAGTTTTGCGGTTGCGAGCGGGAGTAGACATGCACGCTGAAAGGGTCAAACTCTGGTTACCGGTGATGGTTGTACCCCATGTGCAGCAGTACCGGGACCAGAGTGAATAGGGTGTGTATGGGGAGCACGAGTGGGTGTCCAGCGTGCATTTTTGTAAGTCTTGGGTTGTATGTGCATGTGTGAGCATGAGGGAGGGAGTGTGTGACTGTGTTTGTGTATGACTGTATATGTCAGGTGGGGGCTTTGACTCCTCCCCTCTCCTGGGACTTCTTTTGATGATATAGATCTTCGTCCCCCCTCCCCCTGCCACACCTGGTGTGAGGGGTTGTGCCTTGGTCTGCCTGAGTGTTCGTGGCAACCGGGTCTGGGGGTTTAAGATTTTGGCATCTGCCTGATAGATCCCGGTGGCTGCCCGGTGGGGTCTGGGTCCCTGGGCTCTGCTGGGTTCCCGGCGGGGGTGGTCGCCCCTGGGTCGCTGGGTCCCGGGCTCGGCCGGCTAGGGGGTGGGAGGCTGCAGGTGGGCTTGCCACTGATGTCTCCCGGGACTCTGCCGGCTGCTGGTTGTGGCCCCCCGGGGCGATCCTCTGTGCCTCTCGAGGGGGGCGGTGGCCTTTCTGGTTGCTGTCTCCTTGGGGTTCCTGTGTTCTGGACACAGTGATAGGTAGATCTTGTTGTATTGTTGTTGTGTCCCATTTTTTTTGTCCTTTTGCTTTTTTTTTTGTCTTTTTCTGCAGGTCTAGAAGCAGACTCTTGTTCATTGTTTATTTTTGTGGACCCCCCTCCCCCCCCCCGCTCCTCCTCTCCCCCCACCTTTTCTTTTCCTTTCTCTTTCACCTCTGTCTCCGTGTCTGGTCAGAATTACAAAGCATTCAAAAACAACAACAATAAAGTTTTAAGTATCAGGCGTGACATTAAAAGCAAACGCTTTGATGCTCCACCTGAGAGTAAATCTGTAAGGCTTGTCACCAATATTCAGACATCAATTCTGTTTGCTTCACAGCCAGACAGGACACGGTAAAAAAAAAAAAAAAGACATGCACGCTGCGGGTGCGGGCGGGAGTGTAACACACACGTTGCAGTTGCAGGAGGTAATGGTTAGAAATTCTGCGGGAGCGGGCAGGAGCGGGATGAAGAAAACAGTCCCGCTCAGGGCTCTACGGCTGCGTTTTAAGTGTTTCAAGTGTTTCAATTTTTTAAATGAATTCAATTAAAAATAAAGGTGCCCGGCCCTGCCCGTGTCCGAGGTAATTACACAGTCGTTGGCCCGAGGGCCTAGGGCTTCAGTGCAGGGCTCTACGCCGCACTTCCCTGGGTCCTCCACCGATTACACATTCGTGTATTCAGCAAAAGAACACCACTGGTGTAAGAGGTTCTCCGCTCAATAACATCAGAGAAGGAGAAACAGTTGGCTACCTAACCGACTACCAGAGTCCCAAAAACATCATCTGAAGTCACAGACAACAAAAGACGTGTGGACCTGGAGAACGGCAACTGGCATTAAGCGTCATCTTGTTTCATTTGGCAATGTGTGTTTACAGTTTCGGCAGAAGCCTTTCAGGAAAGATACCCGAGGGAAGGGCTGAGTGTTCCATGACCATGCAACCTAGTTTGTTCTGCAGATTTACTATAGCAGCTTTAAAGCTAAGTTGGTGCGCTAAAGCCTGACATATAGGGAGCCTAAATCTCTTCCCTTTTCAGTCGGCTCATGGGTCCTCGGAAGAACGAAAAAATGAATGCAAGTCAACGGGGCTAAAAGAGCCCCAGAAGTAGATGGGCGTGACTTAGGCTCCCTAGACTTCTCAGTTTGTGCTGGTACAGAGACATGCAACGCCATCATTCATCGGCGCAAGGGTTCTCCAACGGGCTCGCAGAGGGTGACCGAGACATGCCCCAATTTTTTACCATCCACTGAATGTGACGGAGACCGAAATCTTGCGATTAGTCAGGATGGCACTTCCTGTAAATACGTCAAAAGCACCGCCTCAAAAAGTAAAAAGATATTTCGCAGTGGACACAGAACAGATTTAAGAATGCATTGCAGAGAAAGTCTGAAAATGTGAACGTTTATTCACCTTTGAATGCGAGTACAAACATATGCAGCAAGTGTTTTATTCATGGATGTAAAAGATGAGAAACGGGAGTTTAGAGGTGCTGATCGCACGAAGAAGTGGATGGGGGACACATTTGTTCCTGTAAAAAGTTTTAAAACAATGTAAACACAATAGTAAATACACTGTCGTGGACCGGCAGGAGTCCCCACAATAGCGCTATGCCCGCTGTTGTCCTGGCGGGGGATTGTCTTGCAACACTTACCAGCTGACGGAGAAGTCTGAGAACGAAACGTCGCCGTCAACGCGTGTGCATCTCTTCCTCGCTGAGCTCATGGAGAAGTATGAATTAGGCTTAAGCGGACTGTGCATCACCCTGCAGTGCATGCTGGGAACTGGGACGCACACTTAATAATTGACCTGGTGGATACACAGTTTTATTGGTCACTGCTCTAGTCTCTGGAAAATGATTGGTTTCGCAGTAGCGGACAGGGTAGCGACTTAACCCAGTTGATGCTTCTGCCTAAGCTCCACAAGGGAGAGACGCACGCGCACTGACAAAGAGGTTTTGCTCTCGAGCTTCTCCGTCTTCTGGGTAGTGTTTGCAAAGCAATTCCCCACCAGGACAACAGAGCGTGTAGCGCTTTTCCGGGATATTCTGTCATGTATCCAGTGCAACATAGTACATTTACTATTGTGTTTATACTGTGTATTTTTGTATTTCAGAGACTTTTTAACATGGACAAATCTGTCCCTCATTCTCCTCCAACTCTTCATGCGCTCGCCACCTCTAAACCCACGTTTGCCATCATTTTCATCCACTCCTCCAGTCATGAGTGAATAAAACATTCCTATTTTTAGAGTTTTTCCACAAGGTATTCTTCCGTGTCTGCCGCCAGATATCTTCAGTTCACTTTACGTTTTTGACAGCACAAATGGTGGTGCTGTTGACGACAGCAGCATCCTGACCAATCACAGGCTTGCATTTTCTGTCTCCTTTGATGGATGTTCAGAAAAGTGAGCCCTCACAAGGACGGTTAATGGCGTTGTGTGTGTCTGTAACGATGCAGAGGCATAAACTAAGAAACTAAGTGATGGCCGATGAGGTGAACCCACAGCTGGACATTTTCAAGAGTCAGACAACGTGCAAGTTGATATGGACGCTGATGGCAAAGTTGACATGAAAGGAAGGAGAATGTCTTCAGAAGCAAAGACGGTATCATTTATTTACATTAAAGCGTACATGTTTTATTTCTGTATTTGGTGGACAAGTT